TGTTTCTTGAGCAGTAAATCAGTATATTGGAATGATTTCTGAAGGATCATGTGACACTGAAGACGGGAAAATTCAGTTTAGCATCACAGGAATAATTTACAATTTAAACATATATTAATAGAAAGTAGTTCCTTTAAGTTCTAATAATATTTCACAATATAACTGTTTTTACTGTATTTTTGATCAAATAAATAGCAGAAGAGACTTCTTTCAAAAACATTTTAAAAAGTCTGAATTATTCCAAACATTTGACAAGTGTATAAACGTTGAAGGAACAGTTCAAATGTAACTGCGTAAGAAAGAGAATGTAGTAAACATTCTAATAAATAGTGACAAAAGGTACAAATCATTTCTAAAAAAAAATCACAGAGCAATCTTTCCGCCAGTGATAGAACAATGTTGATGTGACGCACCGGTTTTGCAACACACTTGTGAAAAGGTGATGTGAGATGGTGGAAAGATGGATGACGCACGACTGATGTGAGCAAAAAGGAACGCTGTCACTCCGCATCACTGGACAATGATTGACTAAACAGGACTTTAGCACGGTCCAGGATACACACACTCACACTCACACATGTACCTGGAACGTTTTAGTTCTTTTCTCGTGTCTCACACACGCACGTTCAGGGCAGCAGACGCCAGGCAGTCTGGGACACGTTCTGCTGTATTGTTATTAACGTTCGGTCTCGTGTGTATTAAGGCACGTTGAGGACACATCCCTGCACTATGACTCCAGGGCTCCGCTTTGTTCTTCTCCGTAACACAGGCATAATTATAGCCTTAAAGAGCGTCTACCTTTCCTTCTCACCCTCTCCACTCTATCTGTCCAACACCCCAGACCATAACGACAGGTTTGCACAGGGATCTGCTCTGCTCCCACCACAACTTTGCTCTCAAGTTCACTTTGCCACATTGTACTCATACTTGTTATTTGTAAAATCACAATTTGAAAAATTCAGAAGTCTCTTCTGCTCACCAAGGCTGCATTTATTAGATCAAAAGATAGCCTACAGTAAAATTGTTAAATATTATTACAATTTAAAAGAACTTTTTTCTATTTGAAAATATTTTTTTAAAATAATATTTCATTCCTGTGATGCAAGGCTGAATTTCATGAAGATCAGCTGATTTGCTGCTCGGTTATTAATAATGCCACTCTAAACAATGCTGGGTTGTTTTAACCCAAATTTGGGTCATGGACAAACCCAAGTGTTGGGTTAAAAATGTAACTTAAAATTTTTACCCAAGTTCAACTTTCACTTTCAACTGTACATTTTTTAATTACATTTTTAACCCAACATTTGGGTTTGTCCATATTTTACCCAAATTTGGGTTAAAACAACCCAGCATTTTTTAGAGTTCTTATCATTATCAGTGTTGAAAACTGCTTATACATTTTTGCAGGATTCTTTGATTAATAGAATGTCATTTTTGATTAATTTATTGCACCTTTCTTTTCTGTTTTTTTTTTTTTGTACAAAAAGTAATGTTATCACAGTTTCCACAAAAATATGAATCAGCACAACTGTTAATGATGGCTTTTTAAAAAAGAAAACTTATCACGGTTTCCACATAAATATGAAGCAGCACAACTGTTTTTAACATTGATAATAATCAGAAATGTTTCAGCTAATCATCATATTAGAATGATTTCTGAATGATCATGTGACACTGACGACTGGAGTAATGATGCTGAAAATTCAGCTTTACATCACAGAAATAAATTACATTTTAAAATATATTCAAATAGAAAACAGTTCTTTTAAATTCTAATAATATTCACAATATTACTGTTTTACTGTACTTTTGATCAAATAAATGTAGCCTTTTTTCAACAACATTTAATTATTTCGAACTTGTATCCCAAAGAATTATTTACATGTACTTGCAACAGAACTGATGAAAGTCTTCTCCAAATGAAATTGTCATGTTGCATCCTCACTGTAATTTCTGAGAATGTGGTTTAGCCATGACAATAATTTGTGGGTATGTTTTGGTCCACTGGGCTTGAAGACCATGAGCTTCCATGGCTTGGTTCTCAGCCCATTGTGGTCCCCTACGGCCCCGGAAAACTCGGTTGCGAAGTGAAACATGACCAAAATGAACAAGTGGCACACCAGCACTTTAGTAACATATGGAAGCTGCTTTGCTTTAATGATCATGCACTGAGACAGATGAAGAGGGAGGTATTACTGCACAGTCAGATATGATGGCTGGGATTTTCAGGGTGTGATTAAAATTTACATGTATTGCATTGTGAGATCCTGGACAATACAGTAATCGATGTCAAAACTGGCTGTTATCTGCAGGCTTTTCAGTGCAACAGCAAAATTGCAAAATGATTTAGCCTATCTTCTTTTTGCCTACTTTGCCTGGTGCTTGAATTGCATGCATTTACTGCAAGTTTATGTAAAAGTCATCATTGCTACTGATTTTGGATGGTGCATGTTTTTTCAGGCATTTTTTTTATATATTCACTGCAAATAACACTGTAAATTACTCTGTAATTTCTCAAATATATCTCTTTGATATGACATTCCCATATTTGGATACATAAAGTACTTCCACTTATCACTAAAATGTGTGCATTTTCTGCATGTATTTGTTGTAGTAATCACATGTTCTTGTTAAAATAATTATGCCATCTCTCTCCAATAGTCAGCCGCCCTATTTTCATTTGAATTCAAAATGGTAAACATTTAAATTCAGAACTGCAAACAAAACAGGAAACAAAACGTGCTGATATGGGTGTGTATCCAGTAGTGACTGTCACAACAATCCTGATGATATTTGATTTTTCTATTTTTTTCTTGTGTGAATGTTACATATCAAACGAGAAGAAAGCAGCAGAGCAGTTCTGTCATTTAACACTAACATGATCACAAGTCAATAAACCAGACAAGAGAGTTTCCTTTTGATTTTGGAGACCTAAGCATTACTGACACCTCATGTGGTTCTATATTATAATCATTTTACCCCCGTCGTTTATTTATAATTAACAGTGTGAGTATTCACCCGTCACTCCTCACTCTCCGCTAAATAACCAGGCCTTAAATTTAAAAAATGAAATAAAGTAGTGACCACCAATATTGATCTTAAAATAATCCTGGCAGATTTTGGATAGGAATTGTTGATTGTTGTTAATGTGTGTGTGTGTGTGTGTGTGTGTGTGTGTGTGTGTGTGTGTGTGTGTGTGTGTGTGTGTGTGTGTGTGTGTGTGTGTGTGTGTGTGTGTGTGTGTGTGTGTGTGTGTGTGTGTGTGTGTGTGTGTGTGTGTGTGTGTGTGAGTGTGTGTGTGTGCTGTCATGTGCTCAGAACCCGCTTGGATCCTCCCGCGTAAAACATCAACTGCACTTTTCCTTATTGTTCCAAGAAAACGCTAAAAAGCATCTTTGTAATGATTGTATTGTTCATGAAATTCGTATTAAAGGATACTGTTATCCCCTTCACAAATAGACATATCCAAATTGAATTTTACTTTTAGATTTTATACTGCTCGCAATTTGTTTCATTTTTAGAGTCTTCTAGAGTCAGATCGGTGGATTTACACTCATATCTTGCACTGTAATCTATTTTACTTCATTCCGTGCTCATCAAATTAGGTTATGTATTTTCAGCTTTAGAGGGCTGAGTGTGAGAGGTCACGGGATCATATCTTGCTTGGTTAAACACTGGTTAAAAAAATCATATTTACAATTCTTTATCAGTGAATGTTTTTTGGTTTTTGCAAAATATCAGCGTTTTGTGATAACACGTCAGATGTAATCCTGCTCCTGCTCTAGGGATCGTTTATGCCTTCTTGATGATTTAATCAGTCCATTATTAATTTATTTATTACAATACCTTTAAAACATTCTGTTGTGTCTCTTAAATAAAATTTATCTACCAAGTTCAATGCGTGTTTGAAAAGAGAAATTTACCGGAATTGTTCTATTTTTGACTTGTTTCCCAGACCTTTAAACTTAAAATCAGGTATAGGCTGAATTCTGGCTATAAACTTTTCTTTCCTAAAACTCTAATAAATGCACACAATTTTCAGCTCATTTGATATCTATTTGTTGGCCTGTACAATTCGCCTTTTATATGGAAATAGTCGCTGTACTCACTATTGCTATCACAATCACACTAAATATTTTAGAGAACAATTCCGAGTTTCTCCCTTTTGAGCGATTGAATGTGTGTACTGGAGCAAACAAAAACTGGACTGGATGAATGGAATGGATTAACAAACAAACTTCCAATCATATTAGTTTTCTGAATGGATGGGGGTGCTCTGTTCCGGCCCACTGTCACACCGGGCGCAATCCACTCGATGAGTGAAAGCAATCACTGTAGGCTATACGACTGCAGTCAGTGTACAAATGTTTCCAATAAACATGGAGGGACATCACATAAATAATCACATATTAAGCTGGCTGAAGCCCCCTTATTAAAAACGAACTGACATGCAATAATGGAAGTTTTAGCTACATAGCTAGCTATCTTTCTTTTTATTTGTATTTGATCCTGGCAAGTTGTCACATAATTGTATAATGTAATATAATACTACACTATAATATAATTGAATATAATATAATAATTTGGCAGATTTTCATTGTAATAATTGGCCCTTACAGAGTAACATCATGCTCTGCTGTTCGGTAGTGTTGTCACAAATGGTCTGTTTTCACAAACTGCATCTTTTCCCTGAGATTTCCAATAATATTTTTAATAGAAATATTATTTATTAATAGCATTAAGAATTATAATATTATTCTAAAAAAATATATATATTTTGATTCTTAATATTATAAAGAGAGACAAAGCCCGGGTCTCGTTGACTGCGCAGGTTTGTTTTCTTCCTAATAATTTCTGTATTTAAGTTCACTTGTCTTTGTGGTTTTTGCAAGATAAAGGTCGTGCTTAATTTGAAGATCATTATGTTGTGACATGATCGATATCAGGGCTCAGCACAATTCGATAGCAAATGCTCATCAACTTCATTTAGCTCTCCCTATGGTGTCGCGTGACGCACCAATCAGCGCGCGCTCTCGCGGAGCGCGAGTCAGTCAGAAACACACAGGACAGAGAGCCCGAGGTGACTTAAGATATTGCACGGTTTTGTCATGATTTAAGAAAGATAAAGTCGTATTTCACCCATGAGATTTATTCCAGTGACTTTGGGAAATACGCTTTCGTTTAAAAGTTCGTGGTTATTTTTTCTTGCTCCCGATCTTTTTGTGATGGATCCGGTTCAAGGTCTTTTTCGTGCACAGTGAGCGTTCAATGCAGCACACGGACCATCATCGCGCTTTATGGACTTGACTGTTAATGATGTCTATGAGTTTCATGTCTGATACGCTAAATAGTTCAGATCCTTCAAAATCAGCATTTTTAGAGTTCGGCCACGGACTTCCAACCAACCAGCAGCATTTATCCGGATTCTCGCACAATATTTACCCAGTACATGGACTGCACTCAGCCGGACACCTCCAGCACGATGGTCCCTACTCCACCGCTTCCCATTACAGCCGGCCGCTGGGATACGCCTACCCCGGGCCGGTGAGCGCGCCTGCTCCGGGGGCTTACGTGCCTTACCAACCAAACAACCACAGCAGTTCTTTAGCTCACACGAGGGCTCAGGACACGAGTGAGTATCCTCTTAAAACCGTCCAAATGTGAGGTTTTGACGCCACGAGTTTCTTGAAAGATACATGCTTATGTCTTGGCATTCATAATCAAGTTCACAACAGCTTTTGCTAATGCACATATTTATAATACATGTGCATTAGCAAAAGCTGTTGTGAACTTGATTATACATGCCAAGGCAGACGCATGTATCTTATATATATATATATATATATATATATATATATATATATATATATATATATATATATATATATATATATATATATATATTTATACAAAATGCAATGCATAGGCTACTTACACTTTATGCATGAATCATTATTAGATTAATATCTGATATGATGCCTAATAAAAAAAAAATCTGCATTTGTACCAGTAGCTAATATAATGCAGCGTGTATTTTTTAAATAAATACCAGATTTACAAAAAAAAAAAAAAAGAAAAGGCACACATGGTCTAATTAATTTTAAAGACCAAGGTAAATCAGTTACAAATGGTAAACACAAGCGTCTGAGTAGCCTATTGCACACAAGGTTCTGACCTTTTATTTTAACGACTTTAATTCAAAAACAGTTTTCCTTTTTTTAGGCTTATTTATTGGAGGCTTTACAAGTGTTTTTAAGCTTGGTAAAAAAAAATCCTGGTAGGCCTAGAACTTGGTTAAAAAATATATATATATATATAAAAAAAAAACGAAAAATACACACCATTTCGTAGTTTAGGTATCAGTCTGCATTGTGTAAATTCTTAAAAATAATTTTGACTACTCTTGCAAATTAATGCACTCATCATGTGTTCATGATCCAATATCTCCCATTAATCGACGATAGCCTAAAAATTGCACATTGTTCACATTTCGGTAGCTTATAACATTAGAGCAATAGGCCTACATACAAACTTTGTAGACTAAATCTAAAGTAAATCCATTGTTAAAATATAAGTTATGTTATACATGCATCCATATGAATATATAGGCCTAAATAATATTTTGTGTATGCACCGAAGCGCTGTCGAAATCGATGCCAATTTTGTTATAGCCTACTATAAGCGAAGAAGCCTCTTTTTTCTCAATATTAATATGATTGATGCAGTTGTAATTCTTCCAAAGATAACGATGCCATGGCTTGTTTGTTTTGCTCTTAGATTCAAGTTCAGGCTCGGTAGGCCTGTAAACTTGACCGTAAAGCGAGTTTAATTATGGTTTGCCGATCTTAAAAATGATGACCCATTAATGTTCCCTTTAAAACACCTGATAAATCTCCTGAATGGCTATCGTAAATCAAAAGACAGTAACAGCCATTTACTGTGACATAATTTACGATTTTTCTCAAGGTTAAGCAGGGTTAACCTGCTTGTTTGAAGAATTGTGAGCATTTAGCCTACTGTGTCATAATGCTGTCGTTTTATTTCGTCTGCATGCCTGAAGACCACGAAAAGCCAGCGGTCATTGAGAATGGTGAAATTCGCCTCAATGGCAAGGGGAAGAAGATCCGCAAACCGCGAACCATTTACTCCAGTGTTCAGCTGCAGGCGCTCCACCAACGCTTCCAGCAAACCCAGTACCTCGCGCTGCCTGAACGCGCAGATTTAGCCGCCAAACTGGGACTCACACAAACACAGGTATACATGTCTGGCATCCTCACTTCTGTTTGAGACAATAGAACTGCAACGTGTTCTTCTTGATTCGGGATTAGGCCTATAGGCTATAGTTAATTGCAGATTTTCTGTTGAGGAGAGCAGATGGGGAACGATGTTATGGGTTACATTATGAGATGTGGATTAGTCTATATATAATATGATCTGTTGGCGCACCTCATTAAGATGGCGTCGGTTTTATGGAATTTGTCATATGGGCGCCGCTCGTGCACCATGGGAAAACAATTCATTTCGGACAAAGAAATGTGAATTTTAGATGTTGGTTGGTAGAGTTGCTCCAAAAATAGGCTATTTGGACGCTTAAGCCTCACTGGAAATATAGGAATACCATTGCATTAGAAGCAAAATTTGAAAGAAATATAGCACTAACCCTTCAAAAATTAAATTGAAACTCCTACTGTAGAGGACACCATGACTTACAGCAATGTTTATCAGGCATTTTGAGAGACTCAACAACTGAATAGGGAAAGAAATGATGTATCAATATTTCTATGAAATATTAGATATTATTATGAAGATGATGCCAATTATTACTCATTCATTTTTTCATACATGTTTTCCCAGGAAGACATTGATGTGCAAATAAAAAAAATATATAGACAGTGTAAATATACATTGTATTGACTATCCATGTATGGCCATTTTACACATATTGCATAAAGTAAAAAATAGTATATCAATACCATAGTTGAGGATCATCTTTACAAAGTTTGGTTGAAACCAAAAAATTGATTGGTGAATGCAAAAAGAAATCCCATTATTTTATTTTTTAATCAAACGAGTCCAAGGTGTCCACTACACAGCATAATATTTGAAAAACATATCTAATGAATATGTAATGACATGAAAAAATACTAAATTCAAAAAAAGAAAAGAGTTTCAGGAGGATATAGTCCATGTTATTAATGTGATGGACTAGGCTTGTTTATGGGAACTTCATGGGAATCCACTGAAAACACCAGTTATTAAGTCTTTTTGAAAGTGTTTCTTCTGTGATAAAGGTCTAGTGTAATTTAACTGCAAATGCCTGTTCGTTTTATATCTTTTAATGCAATGATATTCATTGTTTTTTAAGTGCTTTTCGGGGCAACTTTAAATCTATGTGAGATGAGGCTTTAACCCAGTATCATACTGGATGAACATTCAGATGAGACCATGATGACGAGTCAGTCCATACTGGTTTCTGAGCATGTATTTACTTTGCGTCATGTATACGTAAGTAGGCTGATTAGTTTCTCTTTTGTTAAAGCTAAGTGAGGATTTCGTTTAATCCAACCGTTACTTTCATTTTTTTAGTTAGCGCGCTAGCTTTTGTGTTCTTAGTCTTTGCAGTATGGGAGAATATTTTCCCCAGTGCTTAAACTGTTATCCCAAGCATATTTATTCTTGATTGCTTAAGCCTTACGCTTAATAATACATATCCAACTGTTCATGAACGAGTGATGGATTTAACATAATACAGTAATTTCGGGGGCCAGTGGAGATAAATGAGCCTGAAATTTGTGCTGATGTTTTTTAGGAATGGATTTTTCACTATGCAAAAACCCATTTTCGATATTTATTTTTATTTACCTATGCAGTATCTTTTGTACATATATACATTCCCTTTGGGATTGATTAATAAGTCATCTATGTCTATACTTGTTATGTTGATGTCACACCCATTAATGAGTTCCTGTAGGGTGGTGTTATGGACATTGATTTATTTTTATAAATCCCTCCTGCTGACACGCACGTATTAATGCATGCATCAGTGTCTGTGTGTGTGGAGGAAAATGGAAACCTAACATAAGCCTGGGTGCAGCCATATTGCCCATGGCGTACACAGTGTAAGCCTTCCCATTATGCTTGCTCTGTTTTTCATTCACTGCTTTCCTTCTTCGTTTCTTTCCCTCTTCATCTGCGTTCCACACTCGCCGCCCTGAGTGTGACAGGTTGCTCCTCATTTTTGGCCATGGAGAATGAGTTCAGTCTGTCCCACAGCTATAAGGGCTTTCCAGTCTGATTACGCCTCGGTTTCCATCAAAGTGTTCCTGTCATCAGCCGAAGAACGCCTCTCACGTCCACCTCAGACTGTGCTCGTCTTAAATATGCATTGCTTGCGAATCAAACCTACTTTTTGGGAATACTGATATGTATTGGTGGCAACAATCTGAAATCCAGAGCACAGCTGCCAGTTTCCACTTGATCCATAAATGTGATTGAAAGCACATAAACAAGTGCCACACAAGCATATGCTTTTGGCTTTTCCAAGTCCCTCCTTACACATATAACATAGGTCTGGAATCCATCACTTCACTATAAAAGCTGTTTGGCAAACCGGTCTTTGGAAATAAAAAAGAAAATCCTTTTTGCATGTGTTTATTAAATCTGTTGACAGCCAAACTAATAACATTGTGTAAAAAGCCATTGCGTAGATTTTGATTGTCTGAGGTTATGGAAACTGCGTTAGGTGGGCTCTCTGAGTCAGCCTTAAAGCGTGGCTGGGGTTTTTCGTGCGGGCGTTCGGCTGAATTCTTCCCAAAGCACAGTTTTGGGTCTCGCTCTGCGAGGTGTTTCTAAATTGAGTACACATTCTGGCAAGGGAACCATAAACTCCTACATCATTAAGGACACGTCTCAAATATTTGTGCACTAATGTATTTGCAGTGAAATGAAGTTAAAGCTATAAGTTATTTTATAATGCGAATTATGCAATTATGCAATGGCCTTAAGGGGGGTCGGGGGGGGGGGGGGGGTTTGGGCTGGTCTACATACACTGCCGTTCAAAAGTTTGGGATCGGTAAGATTTTTAATGTTTTTTAAAAAAGTATCTTATGCTCACCAAGGCTGTATTTGTTTGATTAAAATTACAAAAGAAAACAGTAATATTGTAAAAATATTACAATTTAAATGTTTTCTATTTGAATATATTTTAAATAAGTAATTTATTCCTGTGATCAAAGCTGAATTTTCAGCATCATTACTCCAGTCTTCAGTGTCACATGATCCTTCAGAAATCACTCTAATAGTTTGCAGCTCAAGAAACGTTTATTATCATTATCAATGTTGAAAACAGTTGTGGACCATTTTTTTTCACCATTAGAAAGTTCAAAAGAACAACATTTATCTGAGATAGAAAGGTTTTGTAACATAAAATAAATAAATACTTTTATTCAGCAAGGATGCATTAAATTGATCAAAAGTTACAGTAAAGACATGTATAATGTTACAAAAGATTGTATTTCAAATAAATGAAATATAACTATATTCATCAAAGAATCCTGAAAGAAAAAAATTGTCCACAACTGTTTTCAACATTGATAATAATAATGTTTTACTGTCTTTTTGCAAGCATCAATTTAGCATATTAGAATGATTTCTGAAGGATGATGCTGAAAATTCAGCTCTGATCATAGGAATAAATTATATTTTAAAATATATTCAATTGGAAAACAGTTATTTTAAATTGTCATAATATTTAACAATATTTTTTTTTTTGTATTTTTAATTTACTTTCAAAAACATAAAAAATCTCACCGATCCAAAACTTTTGAACGGCAGTATAAATATATATATATATATATATATATATATATACACACCTATAGTAGAATTAACGCAACTTTCACGCACAATTGACTAACAGATAAACTGTGTGCTCCTATTTCAGTGTTGTTTAGTTGAGGATATTTTCAGCAAGCAGGTTTTAATATGCAAATGAGGCCTTAACTAATTATATGTACATTTCCAGAACAGAAAAATTGGATAAAGCCAGGTTCAAAATTTGTTTTCTTGTTTCATTTTGTTGACTTTACTGTCTAAAGCAAGAAAAGAAAAACCTTGAGAATATAGATATAAATAAAACTGTGAAGTTTGGTGTATGAAAGTGCTTAGTGGAGATTTCTGAAACTGCCTTTGCATTGAAATTGAAATCTTCAGACGCAAATAGATAAAGTGTTATAAATTAAACACTTAAATGTGTATTTTGGATGTTTTTTTTTTTCCACTATTCTGAAAGAAGACAAGTTATGGTTGCAAACTAGCCCAAAATCTTCAATCTGAGCAGTGCATGATGGTTTTGCCTGTAATGTTAAATATCGGTTAATACTAAATGAATTCTTTTATCGAAATCTCCCAACCAAGCTCTCTGGAAGTCATTTCATTTCAACTCTATTTAAATGCATTTTTACGCTGTGATTGTTGTTGTCAGACACATGCTTCACTGCCTGCATAAAAATGGCAGGGCGGAACAATCGCTGAGCACGCGTGTAATGAAACACAGCGATGTCACTGAGTCCATGTCTGCAAAGACTGTTCAAGCGTGTCAAGATCATAATGATAGAATAGACCACAGATGCCTGTGTGGCGTGGCCTCAGTTGTTGCATCATCTGACATGTATTTTAATGTTCATTTTTGTTCTATTCTGTGTTCTGAAGGTAAAAATATGGTTTCAAAACAAGCGCTCCAAATATAAGAAGATAATGAAGCATGGGCCCGGTGGACCTGAAGGGGAGATGCTCCACACCACGTCCTCGTCCTCTCCCTGCTCTCCGGGTCTGTCTCAGCTCTGGGAGGTCTCCATGGCCAACAAAGTGCCATCCATGCACCCAAGCAGCTACATGAACAATTATGGCCACTGGTATCCCTCACACCACCAGGATCCTCTGGCCAGACCTCAGATGATGTGATTGACACCTCAGGTGTGGACAAACCTGTGAAGGTGCTTTCCTTCGCGACTGCATCATGTGTTTTATTGCTTGGTGTGTTTGAAAGGACTGTGTTTTACTCTCTATGCAAGCAGATGACCCTGAACACACATATTCAGTATATAGCTTTTCAACTTTTTTTTCCGTTCTTTTACAATGTGCTTGAAATAAAGGATTTATGAAAGGATGGATGTGCTGCTATGTTATGAATGATTTACAGACATTTTCGGAATGTTGATGTTTAAATTTCGATGTCACCATGGAGGTAATAACTTTTGTTCTTATATTCAAAACGGGCCTGGTAGGCTACTATATTGTATGCCATAGCTTATTTAAAAAAATATATTTGAAAGAAGTATTTATATCATTATTATTAATAACAGTAATCATAAAAATAAAGTAAAATAAATGTATTAGGTTACATTATGTATTTTAAATATTAGCGTTTTGGAATAAATTGCCCAAAATTATGATCGAAATGATGCTTGAGATCGAATGAAACAACTGCATAATTTACATCACGACATCACTTGTAAATTCACAGATTTATGTGTTCATGTTCTATAGATTTAGCATTTTCTCGTTGTCCAGCTGTGGGCAGACAGGTTGAGATTTATGAATTATTTATGATCAAGGCAATGACTGTAAGGTGAGCTGTTTTATTCGGCTCGGACCAGTTTTTTTATGTCACCTGAAACGCATGTTATTTTCTTGGTTCTGTTCTGTACGCTTATTATTTTACTTGAAATATGAATGGTCTCGTAGGCCTGTTTTTTGGAAATCTCTGATACAATGTCTGTACGTTAAAAGTTGCATCCGTAAGAGAAATATTTCAGGTAAATAGGTCCGATTTAAATTGATTTATTTTATTAATATTGCTACAGAGTTTTATTTTAAATAAAATGCATGCCTTTTTGCATAAATAAATTGTGCACCATGCGTGCTAAATGATCGAGCTAACAACAGAAAGATGAATAGTGAATAGGCCTACCAGTTTAGATGTCCGTGTTTCCGTTGTAATAGACCATATTCTTTAGTCAGAATCATGGAAATAAAATTTGGTCCATGTGGTGATAAATACGCCATCTTTTGTTTTGGCTATAGTTATCGAATTTTAAGTGCAAGATGTTTCGCATCAAATCAGCAAACCTCTGCTTTTCCACATCTTATATGTTCCTCCTTTCTTTATAATGTAATGTTAAAATAATGCAATGTACTGATTGAGTGGATGTCAGCATGATAAATCACTACAACATTCAATCACGTGCAGGATGGAAATGAGATAGGCTACTTATATGGACATTTCAGTACTTAAACTAAACACAGTGAACAAGATGTTTGAGTTCAATTAAAACAGCCCACGTTACGTTGATGTTCATTTGATGTGATTCACAATGATTCATTGCGTGCTCGTTTCGTATCGTTGTATTTTGGCACAGAAAAACGCAACGCGACTTTAGGCTACAGGATAGGCTAATGCTAAGTCTAACTACAGGTTGTTATGCCTTCAAAAAACTACAGTCCATCAATATTACAAGCAATATACTACCAGGAGACACCTATATCAATGTGTTATTGTGGAACACGTTGTTGTTGTAAGTCTAAATACAGGTTTTCAGGCCAAAGCTCGATTAAAAGCAAATTACGATAATTTGTTAGCGTAGCGATTATTAAACCGGGTTGTGTTTTTCTCTGATCCACTGTAATAAGATGCCCACCTGGAGGAATGCGGGTCCACTTGACCTGACTTTGACCCAGCTCACTCAACAGGGTCTTGTCTAAACAGCCTTGTTTAAACAGGCATATTACAAAGCATCTCTGTCATTTCAAGCTCTTTAGACACAGTTCAGCATGCTGTGTGGCTCTTTCAGCATGAAATAAATCTGTTTTTAACTGCAATACTGTCAATTAATTTGCTTAGTGGATTTTTTTATTATATGAAGTATTATAATATAAAATAATGCCTGCCACATGCAAATAACAGAAGTTTGAAATAAACAATAAATAAACCTTTTTCCTGCATGAAACCCTTAATATCAAGTACAATAACAGGCCTGCACATTTATGAGCTTCTGCAACATCTGTGGGAGATTTCCATGCGACGTGTCCCACAGTCTGTTATTTCCTAAACCGTGCTCATCTCAGCCAAACAAGACATCCTAGCGCAGTCACTTACCTCCTCTCTCTCGACAGGTAGCAAACCACACTGAAAACTTCCGTACGTGGAAACCATCTCTCTGCAATTAATGTTCCAAAAGTATGGAATGATTTTAACATGCCCCTCTTTATATACTCCCATCCCTGAGTTTGATTTGTGGAGTTTATGCTGCTCCGTTCAGATGACAGTCATGGGAAGAGAAGACAAGTGTTTTTGAAAGTAGCTAGCTCTCTCACAAGGGAAATTATGGGCAATTTTACATCTCGAGATTAGAATAATGGGTGCTCAAGTCGGACGAGCAGAGAAAAGGGGCTTTCAAACAGGGCAATTACGTGGGAAGCTGATTTGGGAGAGCACTAAAGGGTGATGGGAGTAAAAGGGGATGAGATGGACTGATAGAAGTTTAAGAGATGTCCAGCACTCGGAGGTGCCTGATGAGTTTTAATATAGTGTGGCGCATCGAAACGCATCTAATTCCGAATGGATTCAGAGGCCCGGAGGAGATTTGAAGGACAAGGATGAAAGCGGTTCCCGAAATCGTCCCCGGTTTCCGGGGTGAGAGAGAGTTCAGTGGTTCACAGCTGTCAAGAAAACCTCTCTCATTTGATGGTATTTACATTCGGAGCAGAATGATGCTGCTGAGTGACGCCTGCGGACTCGGGCTTTGAGCGGGTGTCAGGCAGCTGCCCTCTGTCTTTACATGGCAACATATGCGTGTCCCAACCGCAGCTGACCTCCTGTTCAACCACCCCAGAGGCCTCCGGTGCCATTTTTTGGATACGGTTTCTCGTCAAACACGTAAAGATTGGCCCTGTCTATCTTTATTTAGGTGTTGCGGTGCATTGAATCTTAGTATCGTGTTCAAGTTCAACAGTTCAGGCACGGACGGAGCGCACAGGGCCGTCGAGGTGACCATGTCAGCCCACACACCCAGCTTTCGGGTTTCTCCGAGTGAGCGATGCGTCCCAAGACGGCGCCATCTAGATCATAGCCTGTAATTGAAGGGCCACACACCACGAACAAGCCCAACGGAAAACAGATATGTTACATACGGCCCAACTTCAACTGCAAATATTGTATCAAACAGATAGCAGCCGTTTCTTTATGGACCCTATGGCATAACTACCTCAGATGAAAGTGGTAAACACATAAGAGGGGATAAAATGTCTTAGGGTTTGAGCTATGGCCATTGTACACAGATGACGGGATTATCATGTTTTAAAGGGAACTAAGTGGCCTGACAGGTTTTAGGTGTGAATATGACTCTTTCTTCTCTAAGAGTAACCCAATCGCATGCAACATTGAGGCGGGTATTATAAGATCTACATGACTAATTCCACAGCTATGAAATGCCCAGAAATGACTCACAGTTAACCAACCAACCATATTAATTAACTATCATGACATTAATTTATCTAACTGTTTTTTGTTTTGTTTTTGTTCTGTCAGCATCCACATCTATGCTTTGAATTTCATAGAAGTATTTCTGGAGGCAAGATTTGCAGCACAGATGGACTGTTTCTGCTTCTTATTCTAAAGCTACAACTGTTGCTGTTAAACTGAGTGGAAATTTCTACGTGAAACATTTCGTACTGGAGTTATTTTAGTAACCATTTGGCTTAAGTTTTTTCAAATATTTGGCCAATATTTTGCCCTAAAGCAATACCATTTGCCATGATGTCCCATGTGAGTGGCCACAAATTATCCATTTACATATTCAAATTCCCTGGAGAATGGTTTGGAGAATGGAGAATGTTTAATAACCAACCATAAACACGATTTAAAAAAAAAAAAGATAGGCCTTCCACAAAAACAGATTATAGAAGATCCCATTGATCAATCAATTAATATCAGGGAATAGGCCTATTTCAATATTGAATGTTGGTCTGTTTGGGTCTCCAATGGGTCTTTAGCATTAGTGGTTAGACGTATTTGTGCATGAAACGAAACCAGATTATTTAATGGTTTCTTAAATGATGGTTTTGCGTGCTTTCCATTTCCGCCTAAAACCAGAGGGCGTATCGCACGACTTACAACGTGAGTAAAGTATGTTCTCTGTTCTCGGCACAGTCATGAAACAATACGCCGAGATTATTAAGAATTCTTTCATCACATATTTAGGAGACCGTTCCTTTTACCAGCCTAGAAAAAGAACACGGTGTTCAGACAACACCTAAGAATTACAATTTGTTTGAAGTTTTCTGTCAGTTTTTAATTATAATGAATTGACATTAATGATTAAAACAGAAGCCGCAAGGACACAAATTGTCAGCGACTTAAAAAGCACAATGAATGACAAATGAATTATGTTTCCCGTGAAATTAATTATGCGCATAAGTAATACAGGAAAGTTGTCTTTATAGTTTCGATCTTCGAACTTTTAGTCAAATTGTAACACTTTATAATATCTTTAAAACATTAGCAAACATTATTGAATTATGGTTAACAGTTCATTCATGTATAGGCTATATTACAATAGCATAGAATTGTCTTACAACCTTCATTTATACACCTCATTTATAGGCATAAATTAATTTAGCTAGGCCTGCATGCATGAACAGATTTTATTTGGTCATGTTTGTTTTGAATTTAAGTTACTATAAAGTGTTACACAAAACTGTTAGTTATGAGTTCATTTTAAAGCGCACAAAAGGGCCATTGTTGATTTCTACGTTGTAATTGTATTATTAGGCTACATCTGATTTTTTGACACGCGAAAAGTAGGCTATTTCTATCAAATCCGTATGACGGATAATATAATTTTTTTCACACCTAATTTCTCCTTGGTGTTTTGGCAACTGGACGATTTCTGTCCAATTTCCTTGAATAAACATCAACAACACATGTTTTCAGTAGGACTTAAAGGAATTAAATTCTTCCAGAAAACATCTGATGCTGGTAAACTCCAGACCACCAGAAACACGTCACCAACCTATGACAGACTGACCTGAGACCT